AATGGGGTTTACTTTCCACACCCCTGACTATCCTCCCCACCGGCAGTGCTCCTTACTTTCACACCTACCTATCATGGACCCAGAGCAACATATATATCCACCTTCAGCTTCCTCTGTGCAAAATGAAGTTTATTTTCTACCTAAGAGGACTTTTACTATCTTTAATTTTCCCTCAGCCTGAAGAAGGGTGTGTGTGTGCCCTAAAGCTTGCAAAGCAAGACGTGTGTGTGTGTGTGTGTGTGTGTGTGTGTGTGTGTGATTTCTTAGCTGGTCTAATAAAAGGTACCATCTCTGAACCAAGAGTTTTAGAGTTTTGCATTACTTTCACCCCATAAGAAATTCCATCAAATCAGCGTGGCATGGAAGGGGACAAGGCTTTGTTTCACTTGTGTAGCAGGGAGAGGGGCTGATTCTCCAGCCTAGATAAGCCTCCCTTTGCCAAAGATTTCTGGTTATTATAAAGTCCTCCCATGATGGGCTGGGGCAGCACCAAGAACCACATTTCTGAGGCCAACACTTCTGAGAACACCTTGGGAATGGACACGTTATTAGGACTGAGAAGGGGCAGGCCTGAGAGACAGTACAGGCATACAGGTGATGCCTGGTAACGATGGAGTAGGGTGGACTTGCCCGGCTGTGGCTGGTCATTTCTAGGTGCTCCCTGGCACTGTTCACACCTACTTGCACCTCTCCCGAACCAATTTGCAAAGAACTTGATCCCAGAAAGCAGAGAAACACCTGTCAGTGAGCTCCAGAGATGGAAGGGGTGGAGGCAAGAGAGGAATGTTTAAGCAAACGCTATTCGTTTTTATGGTTGGTCTTGGGCATAGAAAAAATTTAGCAATCAACCCTGTCACCTGCACAGAGAAAGGGGTAGTAGGGAGGAAGCCTAGAAATCTAGCAGCAGTTTGAGGCTCTGGAGAGCTCAGTTCTGGTCTTAACTTTGCCACTGCCCTGCTGGAGGACCATGGCCATGTCACTTGTCTGTGTCTCAGTTCCCATTCCTGCTCCCCATTGCTGTCTTGACAAGATTGCCAGGGCCTTGGGGCAGGGACTGTCTCCCACATGGTGTGTGTGTGACGCTCGGCACACGGGGTGTTGTGGGTGGGCAGGGCTGCTGCAGCTGCACGAACTATGAATGGCAGAAGAAAGAATTATGACAGAAAAGAAAATGACCATTCAAAAATGTAATGTGCAAGACTCACTCAGATCACTGCCAGACCTGGCACTGCTGTCTCACTAGACCTGGACAGTTCTGCCTTCCCCCCGTGACAATGCTGAGTGCTTCGCTGTCATTTACCAATGGGGAAACTGAGGCAGGAATCAATCTCCTCCTGCCCCACAGCTGCTTTGCACCTCAGGCTGACAGGCAGCTCTGCAGAATGGTGAGGCAGCCCTGAGCGAGCATGCCCTGAAGCTGTGAAAGGCACATGAGGCTGGGGGGACTCCAAACCAGAGGAGTTAAGTGACTTGCCCAAGGGCACACAGGGAGTCCATGGCCAAGATGGCACCCCCCTCTTGCACATCCAGACTCAGGCCGCTGCCTGTGCTGCTCTAGCAGGGGTTTGACTCCGGGCTCCACTCCCTCAGATCTGAACCTTTCACTTGGCTTTATTTCCTCCGCCTTGGGCACCAGTATGGCTGTGCTGGATCTGCGCACAAGGCCCTAGATGGCAAGCCTTGCCCCTGGCACAGCCCCAGGATTGCCTGCTACCCCATTTCCACTGGCCACCTTCAGGCCCTTCTGTACCCTGTGTCCTGTCTCCGCTGCCTGTCGTTAGGGCTGGGCACAAGACAAATGTGCAGCAGATAGACAGGCTCCTAGGAAGGTCACTGAGAATGGCTCTGCCACTGCTTGTCTCTCCCTTTCACGTTTTGGGAGCAGCCCCCAGGTATTGTGAACAGGGAGAGGTGCCTCCTGGGGCTTGGACTGGCTGAGGGAGACCCCAAGGTCAGCCTGGACATAATATCCCTTGCAGATTTCACCGTGAAGGCCACAATTCCCTCTCTGTGGAAGGGGAAGATAACAGCTCTTCCCTTCTTTGCAGGGGACAAATACCCAATTATGAGATACTCAAAGGCCAGGGTGATGAGACCCTCTAATATTTAAAATGAGACAAGGGTCTTTGGGTAGATGTAATCTCTTTGATTAGCTACATGATATCTAATAAAATTGTATTAGATATGTGATTGTATTGGATATGCGAGATCTAATTGTATCGGGTATGTGATAGCTAATCAAAAAGATCACACCTACCCAAAGAACCTTGTCTGCCTATGTCCTTAGTCCAACATGGCTACAACCAACAACCCTAAAAAATGAGACAAAGCATTTCAAATGACTGGCAGGATTTTCACACTCGTATTTCCAGCTGTAAGCTCATCATCCACCCCTCCTTAATGACAGAAGAGCAAAGAGGGCATGGAGGAACTTTTCTGGACTCTCCACTCATTCTTGGTTGCCTCAAGTTTTGGATCCTCAGCTTAAAGGCACCCGGCTCACATCGTTCCTGAGGGACTTGAGAATGGCTTCCATTAACTCTCTGCTGGAGCATCTGCTCCCGAGTCAGTGGGGCATTTCTGAAAATCCCAGCCTGGGTGTCTTAACATCACGCCTGGGCAAGGGGCAAGGATCTTCAAGGCTGATGAAGGGCATCAGGTGCCTAAATTGACTTTTAAATTCATTGAGGGCTGGCTGCTGCACGCTCTTTGAAAAACTCAAAGAGTCCAAGATGGGCTTGAGCAGTGAATGTATTTGAAAATTGTGGCTAAGTCTTTTGAGTGCCCCAGCTAAAATTTCTCTTACCCCGTTTCATATGCAGGGAGTTTCTCTCAAGCCCTGCACAGTAAACTGAGAAAATACAAGTGCTGAAAGAAAGGGAAGCTTTTCACCGACAAGACTGTTCTCCTTTGTCACCATCACTCTTTGGTCATTGCCTGGCCCCATGGTTTTACCATTCTTTAAGAAAAAAACAAAAAACCCCAAACCTTAAAAACACCATTTTTATTTATTTATTTTTTAACACCACCCCTCTGAGTCTGAGAATAAAATAAAATAAAATAAAATAAAATAAAAATCAGACCGGCCTTTCCCTGCCCCCAAACTGGAGCTTCAGCACAGATATAATCCAATTTACTCCATGGGGAAACAACCTGCAGCCCATCTGGAGCAATTTGATCTCTGGGCACACATTTATCCTATCTCCGGCATCCCAACTATTTAGTTGGTCTAATAAAAGATACCGGATTTACCCAAAGAACCTTGTCTGCCTACATCCTTAGGCCAACACAGGTACAACCTACACCCCTTACCCCATCCCCTGCATTCCTGGGGCACAGAAGGTCATTTAAATTCACCACAAAAGAATCCTACTTGCTGCAGCACTTTGGCCCCGATTCAGGAGTGCACTTCAGCATAGCTTTAGGCCTGTGAGTCGTCTTATTGACTTTAACCGGGCTATGTATGTGTTCATGCTATTCTGAATCAGGGCCTGTCTTCTGAGTTTTTGTGCACCCAAGAATGTACTTATGCCACCATGTAACTGAAATACTGGTGGGCAGGTGGGTAGGACCCAGGTCCCGAGCCAGTGGTTTGCACATGGGACTTGGAAACCAAAATGTGCCTGTTTCACAAGTGGCTGTACATGCACCTCTTTTATCTGCACCTTATTTCCCCATGCCTGCACCTTTACAATTCCCAAAGTCTACTTGTTAAGCGAGGCAGACCCAGGCAGAACTGGTAGAGCGGGTTACCGGGGGGGTCCCATGTCATGCTCTCCATTTTTTTGCTCTACTTTTGCATATTGATTCTGGGTCTTTCAGGGTCCTTGCTGGCTTTTTGTGCGTGGGGGAGCAAAACGCCCAGCGCTACAGAGATTATTCTGCACTTCCTAGACTCACTCCTTCAGGAATGTGACTCTAGCAGTGAGATTTAGAATGCAGGCTCCTAAATCACTTGGGCATTTGGGAATTCTCTCTCAGGTGCAGAAATGCAGACAGCCTACTTGCTTAAAACCCCAGCTTCTCTTGCATGCGGTATGGCGTGAGAGAACACTACGCCTTTGTCAATATTTATTTTTTTTATTAAAATACTGTTATACCAAGTGGAATGCTACAGCAATCTCGGTATAGGGTGGCATAACAAAACAGCCAGGTTTACATTTAAATACTTAAGATAACTTAAAACGCACAAACAAAACCTCATTGTCTTTGGCAGAAAAAAAAAAAAGTTCACAGCACAAAAAAAATACTTAAAAAGAAATACCAATATTAATATAAAATATATTAAGTTGTTTTTTTTCTCTTTCATATTTTTGTTTTGTTTTCCTTGTTGTAAACAATGCACGTGAACCAAATGCATTTGTTACATGTCTGGGAGAGAAATATAAAAAAAATGCAGTTGTCCAGCAAATGCAGATGTTTAAAGAAGAAAGAAAGAAAGGAAGGAAAAAAAATATATATATATATATATATATCTATATATATGAAGGCCAAGGGTGGAAAGCTTCTGAGTTTAATGGATTGAGAACACTCATTAAAATCCAGATTGGCTACTGTCAGAAGCCAGCTGTCAGTAGACAAGGGCAGGCATGAGGATTGTGAATGGTGATAGGCAAGTATATCTTGGGAGGGATCCAGGAAAGGGGGACTGGACTCCCACACCGGACTCTGAGCCGTTTTTCCTCTCCGATTGCAATCAGATCTGCCTTCATTCCCCTTGTTTGTGTTTTTAGATAAACACCGTTCTTCTCCCTCCCTTTGCAGATACAAACAGAAGAACTGAAACACAACACATTGCTTCTGGTATTGCCAAAGACTCCCTCCTGCCATCCCTGACCCTCTGGAGCAGTGCCCACTTGCAGTCATGTGAACATTCCTCAAGCCGTGCACAAGCGCTGAACACCCAGGAGAGGGTCTGCAGCAGCTTGCCCTGGGAACACCTGACATAGCCCCACTGACTTTGATGGAGCTACTGGGACTCGAGGAGTTGCTTCCTGCTCCCCTCTGCCCACAAGACGGGCTCCTGAGCTAAAAAACATCCACGCATGCTCAGAGACATTTGGCTCAGGGTGAGTATTCAAACAAACAGAGGGGAAATTCCAGTTGAAGGAACCATGGGAAAGCGCCCCAAAGGAAATAGCCAAAGGACTCCAATGACAGATACACAGCTTCAGAGACAAACAGGATATGAAATGGAGGAAAAGGAACAGCACAGTACTGGAGACCTGGATGGAAGGCAGATGAGGGAGAAGCAAAAGAGAAGGGGAGAGATGGAGTAAGGGAACTGAAATGATAGATACAGGGCTTGCTTCTGTTGTACAAGACAAGGAGTTATTTACAGAGAACTTCCCCTTCCTCACACACTTCCCAATGACACGTACCCTGCGCTGCCTCCCCATCTCCCCCCAGCTACTGAGCAACCTCCTTAGGAAAATGCCAAATGCCTCTCGGATGCTAACTCTCACATCCCCCTCACCCACAGCAATTTCCAGTCCTCTTCAAGAGAAGCGTAGGGCAGAGCGGGGGATGAGATGAGGAGCAGGAATTCCATCCACACCAGCAGAATTCAAATGCTCCTTATTCCTGGTAGCTTCAAAGTGTGGAGCAGGTGCCACCAGCATGTCCAACAAAACCAGTCCTTCCAGTACCAGTTTCTAGCCATCCATGGCATGCCATTCTCCTCTGCCATCCACAGCTCAAGAGGCAGAGGAGAGCTCTGTACCTCTTCACTTTCAGCTTCTCTTTTCTCCTTTCCTGGGGATTTCCAAGGGCAAGGGGAGCTTGGAATAGTCTTTCCCAAGCCAAAGGCTTCAGTAGCACTGCCCAGCACTCTAGCAGGCTCTTCCTTCCAAGGGGCAGGTGAGATCCGGCTCTGCCACGATGGAAAGTGAGCAGCAGGCACAAATGAACATGGACATCAGCTGCGGCTTTGCTCCCAGCCCTCAGCTCATGGACTTGCTGTGATCTCTCCTGCGTACCCTCCCCCAGCCTTCTCTATCCATGAACTCACCACAAAATCATCAAGGGAGAACAAGTCCCAGCCAAGACTCCCAGTAACTGAAGGGCACTTGCACCAGCAGATGCTTTCCTCCGGTATGGCCAACATGGCCTGCAGGGGCAGAGAGGATAGTGGCCAGAACCAGCCCTCCCTTAAATCAAAATTTCTACCATGTCCGACAGGTCGAGGGTTCTGGCAGCAGTGAAGGTCTCTGCAAGAAAACAAAGTTGGGACTGTAAATACGCTGTGGCACCTTGACCTGATGCCAGCAGAATGGGGGCCCTGTGCACACTACAGAAATGCAAAAGACAAACTTTGCAGCTGAGCCCAACTTGAAAAGGAATCAAAAAGAGGTGAGAGACCCAGGTCCTATGTAAGTGATGAGAGATATGCAGGACCCATTTGAGAAACCATCATGGGACCTGTATTTCAGAGTGCAGAGGAATTACTGTTGGAAAATCCGGCCCATTTGGAAATCACTAGCTGCTTCTGTAAAGCTCTTCTACACTACCAAGCTCTCTCCTGGCAGCCTGCACTTCTACAGCCCATGCAGAGGCATCATCATCTGCACTGGGCCTTAATTCTAACCAAATGGGACATCAGATGAAACCCAGCTCCCTCTATTCATCCCACCAGGCCCTGGCCCCTCAAGCTGCCAAAGGCTGAGACCTTTGCTGGTCTCTTTCAACTGGTTGAAGGGCCTGGGGAGAGGCGGTGAGGGAGAGGTGCTGGGGGATTCTTCAGCACAGGGAGATCTATGCACAGTTAGTTGGGGGACGCAGCCTTGCAGACTCCATCCTCCAAACACCTTCAGGTTAAAAGCCTGATTCTCCTGCCAAAGGGAGGCAGGTATTAAGCCTGCTATGCGTCTGACAAGCTGGGTTTCCTTCAGGTCTCTGGCCCCAGAATGAAGCCATAAAGCAGTGGTCACCAGCCTGGGAATCCTAATCTACAGGTAGAGCTCAGAGCCTGATGGTAGATCCTGGGTTGGGGGAAAAGCTGGGTGTGCTCACATGTGCACACCCACTGCCCCCAGCGCCAGCAGGTCAATCTGTGGGGGAGAGAGGAGGTGGGGGCCAGACAGATGCCCCCGCAGTGAGTGGCTGACTGCGCGGCCCAGCCAAGAAGAGTAAGTGGAGCTGTAAGTGGAAGAGTAAGTGGAGCTGGCCAGGTGGTGGGAGGATTGGAGCCCAAGGAGGCTCCTCCAGGGGCGTGGGGGCTCCCTCCCAATCTCTGTGGGGGTGGAGGTGGCAGAGGCTGCTGCCACTGCGCCTCGAGTCCCGCTGCAGCTGGCCATGTGTGGGCATGGCTCAGCTCAGCAGCAGGGACTCACGTGGGGGTGGCCCTGGCCCAGCTGGGTCTGGGAAGATCTGGTCATCCAGGGGTGCGGGCACAGGCTGGTGGAGGCCCTGGGGGCCCATCCCCACCCCCCACTTGTGCTCAGGGTAAAGTGGACAGCCTGCAGCAGCACCCACCTTGTCCCGAGCACAGGTGGGGGGGCACAGGCCCCCAAGGCCTTTGCTGGGCTGTGCCCAGTGGCAGGAGCACCCCCCACACACGCCTCTGGACTGTGGAGAAGAGCCGACCAAACCAGGGCCCAACGCCACGTTCCTCTGCCAGGTGGGTGCAGCTCAGTGCAGCCACAGCACTGAAATGGGATCAGGCCCCGTCCCAACCAAGTCTGGAACACTCCACAGTCCAGAGGCGCATGGGGCACAGGGTGGGGGGCACGGTAGATCCTGGGGTGGCCTTTTGTTCAAAAAGTGATCTTCACTATAAAAAGGTTGGGGACCACTACCATAAGGAATAAAGAGAAACCCTGAGAGATGTTCCCCTCCTTTCCCTCTCCCTTCCTTTCTCTCTCATCCCTTTCCACCCTTTTTTTCCGGTCAAGACATTCCCAGTCTACTATGCCCGATGTGTCTCGTGCCTACAGTTAGTCCCTACCACAGCAGAGGCTGCACCCTGGCCAACAGGCTGCAGTACCCCACTTCCATGCTCTCCTCACAGCTATGCTGAGCTTGGCCAGCACTCAGGGCAGAGGGAAGGGAAGTTTCTGGATTTCCCACCTCACAAGAAACCTGTACTCAGATCTGTACACGTCAGAGTGAACAATGGCCCCAACTCTGTCTGGTGGGGACTGGGGGAAAGGGCAAACACAGCAAGCGGGACTTACCCAACGAGTTGGCTGCGCAGTTGCTGCCGTTGCGCTGGGGTTCGGGCCCATCGCCCTGAGTGCCCAGGATGCTCTCTGACACACCATCTGTCTGCGTGCTCCCATCTTTGCTGCCGTGCTTGGGGTGAAAGGGGAGAGGGCCGCAGGGAGGCGGGGTAGACATCTCTTCCATGGGAGCCTTGCCTGCTGAAGGAGAAACAAAAGCTGGCACCTTCAGTTGGAAAAGGTTTAAATGAGCTTTGCTTGATCTGGGCTTTTCCTAGGTCAAGTGGCACTGGCAGGGCACCCCTGTTCTCAGTGGTGGCAGATGACAGAACAAGGGGCAATTTCATAGTTTCATAGATTTAGGGTCGGAAGGGACCTAGTAGATCTTCTAGCCCGACCCCCCGCCAGGTCTGAAGTTGTAGCTCCAGCAGCTCTGCCCGCCAGCTACCCCCTGGGGGTATTACTGAGGTTGGATATTATGAAAAACTCTCACTAGGAAGGTGGTGAAGCACTGAAACAGGTTACCCAGATAGATTTTGGAATCTCCATCCTTGGAGGTTTTTAAGACCCAGCTAGACAAAACCCTGGCTGGGATGATCTAGTTGGGACTGGTCCTGCTTTGAGCAGGGGGTTGGACTAGATGTGGCCCCCCGAGGTCCCTTCCAACCCTCATGAGTCTGTGCCTGCCAACCAAACTAACAGTTCCCGTTATGTCTGGTGTTCCAAGCTGCTGTCCTCACTCTGCCTGAGGGACGTTGAACTCAAGCTGCTTGCTACCCAGAGCCCCCTTTGACTAGGTAACATCCTGGTGTGGGGGAAACGAATGCCACAGAATGGAAGCATTTTAGGAAGTGCCGCAGACCAAGGGAGCTCTAAGACAGGGCTTTAATACTGATCAGAGGGGTGAGCTTGCCACAAATGTCTCAGCTGCAGAATCCCCTCAGCACAGGCAAGACTCTCCACTCACCTGGACTCCCTCTGGAAGTAGCCTCATTCAGCCGCTCGCTGTGAGTATTGCCCTGCCAGCACTGGGCTCCAGAGGCTGCAAAGATGGATGGCACAGATTTGGCTGGCCTCAGGGCACCCTGCAGAGCCTTGCTAGGGTCCTTTCTTGAGCGCTGCTGCAGGACTTTGATGACCGCATCCTTCTCCAGGATTTGGGCATGAAGGGCTTTTAACCTGGAGGACACAAAAGCAATGCGCCAGGTGAGATGGAGCTATCAGCAGCCAGAGATCTGGCTGAAGGAGTTTGCAGAAGGCAAGGACAAGGCTTCAGTCATTTTGTGCCTGAAGCAGGCTTCATCCTTAACATTAGACCTTAGTCAATGCCCTGGCAAAGATGCCTGGTTTCCATGATGGCTGGCTAGTCAACAAGAGGCCAAGTCTGAAATGCTCCATGAGAAATTGTGTTAATTGCCCAATCAAAGGCTGACCATAATGGAAAGTGAATGGAAAATGGGCCCTGTGAAACCCAAGGCTGGGCATACCTGTTCTCCATCTCTTGGTGCTTGTGGTTGGCCAACAAGAGATCCTCATTGAAGCTGTTGTCAGGGGAGTGGCGCGGGGAGTGGTTGATGATCGTGGTGTCCCGCTGCGCAGCAGCAGTGGCAGCAGCATCCATGGCAAACTGCCTCATGGTGCACTCCTCCAGGTACTTCTGCTCCCACTTGGTCATGTCTGCCTCCAGGGCTAGGATCTTCTCCTCCTTCTCCCTCACCTGCTCAGAGAGCACCTGGGCACTCAGCTCAGGGGATCCTCCACTTGTGGCTCCCACTTGCCTCTGCATTGGCAAAGAAAAACCCATGCATGGTGTGAGTCTGCCCCATGGAGAAGGGGCCCGTGGGCCTGACCAGCAGGCTCTTGAACAACGAGACACTGCACATTCTTTACCACCTTCTTCCTCAAGCATCTGGAACTGCCCCTGCTCCCATTCCCTAGCCTCCATAAGCTCCCTTCCTCACCTGCTGAGCCCGCAGCATCTTCAGCTCCTGCTCCAGGCGGGTGCGGAGACGCAGTTCCAGCTGCTCCCGCTTCTCACAGGCAGCCTGGAGCTGGCCCAAGGCCTGCTGCAGCCTCTCCACCTTCTCCACGTATGCCCTCTTCTTCCTCAGCTCATCCTCGGTCTTGGCAGCCCGCGCCTGAGCATTGCTCAGCGCTTGCTCCAGCAGCTCTGCCCGCCGGCGCTGGTCCTCGTTGGCGCTGCGCAGCAGCAAAATCTCCCGCTCCAGCTTCTCCTTCTCCTGCTGGTGCTCGTAGTCTGGAAAAGGCACCAGGAGCAATGGTGTTAAGGCTGAGTGCAACAGTGCTAAGGCTGAGAGAAAGGCACATACTCCCAGTTTCCCCAATTTCCTCCCAGTGTGCGACTGGCAGATGCTGCCTCAGAGCTGTCCTGCCAGTACACTAACCCAGGGATAGACCGAGGGAAGTGTCTCCTGCCCCACCTACCCCACCTACGGAGACCAAGAGGCTCCTCAGGCTCTCTCAGACAGACATCAGATATGGGGGCGGGGAGGGTCCAAAAGGGATGTTCCCTGCCATACTGTGCCTTCCTTACATTCTGACACCACTGCTATTCTGGTCCCAGAGCCACTCCTCAACTCCGTCTGCCACCTGGCTACCCCCTGAGGCCAAGAACTGAAATGGCCCTGTCACTGACTGCCTTGGGAAATAATCTCAGGGCTCACCCCTCAGCTCACACAGCAGGGACTGCACCCCTGGGATTTTGGAGATTGGATGCTAGTCCCTGTTCTGCCACTGACCAAGTCATTCTCCTGCTCTGTGCCTCAAGCTCTCCTGCCTGTAAAATTAAGCCAGTGATACTGCTCCCCTTGTAAAAGCTCTTGGGAGAGCTGGGTGGGCAGGTAGAGGAACAAGTTCATGGTGGGCAAGACTGAAGCTCTGTGCAAGAAGCCAGCATTATCTGCCCAAAGCCCTGGTCCATTCCATCCCCCTCTTATCCAGTTATCAATGGGCACTGCTGTGCCACTGACTTCAAAGGAGTTTCGTTGCTTTACACTAATTGTGGATTCAGCCTACAGTGAGTATGTTTTAAGTGACAACTCCCTTCCCCCTGCCCAGCCAAACAGGGCGACAGGGGACTCTCAGAGGGTGCCTCCATGGTCATGAAGCAGTGCATGCTCCGAAATGAAAGAACAAGACCACCGGTTAAAACTATGTAGTGTTCCCTCTGCCTTTCTTTCCAAACTGAATTGCAAATTCTGCAACTGCATTAAACTGTTATGTTCTGCATGCAGCCAGGCCTGAGACTGAGGGACTAAGGCAGGTGGTAAGAGGGGAATTGCATGGCTGTGGGCCCTTTTTGCTTCTTGGGCATGGTGGACATCCTGCTGCTGCTCATGGGGGCCCACACAAGCCAGGAAGAGAGTGCCTAGCTCATTCTTAGCCTCCAGCAAAAAAAAAGTTTTCTTCTTTTTAAAAAAAAAAAGCAAAACAATAGAGAAAGCGAGAAAACCTCGGCCTGGGACTGAGAGTGGAGGGAGTATGAGCTGAGCTGGAACAGCCTGAACAGCCTCTGGAATGCTAGGAATCCAGGTCACACCGATGGCTGCTGTGATTAATGGCTCTCTTTTAAGTGCCAAGAACAGCTTTAGCTCTCCCTGGGGAACGGCAAAAAGCTTCCAAGAGAGGATCCGCCTCCTTTTCTATCTTAAAGGGACCTTACTCACCCTCCCAAAAAACCCTCTGTGAAAAATGTGCCAATCATGCCCTTATCTGCTGGAACGATTTACAGCAAAGGGCTCGTGACAGAGAGAGCAAGAAAGGCTCAACCAGACAGTTCTGCAAGCCACATCCATGAGGTTTTGGCATGGAGTGGGCACTCACTTTGTGCCAGGAGTTTTGCGACAGTCCCTTGGTTGCCTTCTTGGTTCTCCTGGTTCTTGCTGGCCAGCTGTTTGTTTGCAGATTCCAATCGTTCTGTTTTCAATTTAAAAAAAAAAGAATCAGACATATTTTCAGAGTTTGCTTAATGGGGAGCAGCCTGGTTCCTGGAAGAAACCAGTATTATTATGAATTCATCTCACAATGCGTTCCACAAACTGATCTACCAGGAAACAATTTAGCCTAGAGAAGAGAAGACAGGGGATTTGATACCAGTCTTCAAATACCTGAAGGGTGATTACAGAGAGGATGGGGATGGGCTTTTCTTTGTAGCTGTAGGGGACAGGGCAATGGCCTCCAGCTGTAGCAGGAGAAATTTAGGTTGGAGATTAGGAGGAGCTTTCTGACTGCAAGGCTGGTCAAGCATTGGAACAGGCTGTCCAGAGAAACTGTAGAATCTCCATCCTTGGAAAATTTCAAGAGCAGGCTGGACACACATATGACTGGATGGTTTAGGCAGAGATGCTCCTGCCTTGAGCAGGAGGCTGGACTAAATAAGCTTATGAGATCCCTCTTCCAGCCCTACTTTCCTATGATCCTATGTCCGGAGACAGACTTTGCTGGGGGACTTGTTCATGACAGGTGACTCTCTCTAGTCAGAGAGAAGTAGGTATTGGCTGGTGCTTCTTGGGCAGAAGCACATGTGACCTTGACACGGGTGACCTTGTGGGGCCACATATGGGGCCATGCACTGAACAAGGATCTACATACTGGGGAAGAATGGTTGTTTGAGTGTTATCTGGGATGCAGAGGGAGCAGCAATGTGGGTAACCTCAGCCCAGACCAAGGCCTGATTATAATCATTATCTTCTCTTGGTATGAAAGACAGTCTAAAAATAAGCAGGCCCCAGAAATTCCCTGCTCCCTCTTCCCTGTCTGAGGCTGCCCCAGCATCCTACCTTTCAGATCCCGGTTGAAATCTTGAAGCCGACGCATCTCCCCATCCTTCTTGTTCCTCATGGTTTTCTCCAATGCTTCTCGCTTGGAAGAAGCCTTCATCAGGTTCTCATAGTCCTCCGAGATCCGCTGAATCTCTGTCTCCAGCTAAGGAAGAGGGAAACAATGGAGTGACATTAGATATTTGTAGTATGAGGCAGAAAAGTGGAAGAGGACAGTAGGTCACCACCATGTCTGCAGTGTGACGTGCACTGCAACACACTGGGGCTGCTGAGGATTAGTAAATTGGTCTTTTCAGTTGCCAAGACCTAGGTTGGAGCTTGGTGGTTGGCGATGAGTTTGGTGAAATGGTGTCACCCTCCTCTTCATGGATGTGGGTCAGGAGTGAAGTGCACATTGGCAGACAGACAGCACATAGTGAAGGCTGTATGCTGCCTGCCTGTACTTGCTGCCTGCCCTGAGCCAGTGTTCCTTGTTTGTAATTGCTACTTACACTTAAATAAAGTAATAACAAAGACTTTCTCTCCACCTCACAGAAAACCCCAAGCACAACCCAAGCTGAGAGATGCCACCCACAAAGCGCTTGGCTAGCTGTCCTTAGTGTCTATGATAACCTGCTAACCCACTATGCACTTGTTCCTCTACCTGCCCACCCAGAATGCTCACCAAAATCATGACACTGTTTCGGGACTTCAGACCTTGTTTTTGTTTTTTGGGGGTTTTTTTAATTTAGATGGTACCTCTTAAAAAGCACCAGGCAGAATAAAACTCCCAAAGATTCAGACTGGTTTTTCCTCCACTCCTCAACTTGCTGGCTTGCACCAGAGAAGCATTTTCCCCCTTTCTCTCCTGTGAGGAAGCCCCTCCAAGACCATCTCAGGTCAGGGAATTGCTTTGCTTTATCCCACAGGAATAACTGAAATGTGCTGAAAAGTCCTCATATTCTCCTGGGTGAGATGCTTCACACAGAGATGGAGAAGAGAAGGTGCCCTAGGCTGGGTTGAATCACAGTAATAAAGACTTCTAGTACACAGTCCCACCTCTTTCTAGCTCTGGGCCTGGCCCCAGAATGGGAGTGGGGATGCTTTTGGAGCACTTTACACACAGAGAAATACTGGAATATTGTAGCAGCAAAGCATTCCTGGCATATCTGCACCTATGCCGGGCAAGATGTGCTTTGCAGTGATCTAGTAAAATTGCCCTTTACAGGTGAAACAAGCTAGACCGGTAAGAGTGCATTTTTGTTGGCTTAATTGCATCTATACCAGGGGCTTCTGCCGGCATATCTGTCGGTCAAAGGTCACTCCTCTTCACACCCCGCCTGAGAGCTATGCTGGCAGAAAGTTGCAGCATAGCTCTGGTCCATGCCTGCACTTGTCTCGTGGAAAATTCAGGCTCTTCTCCCCCATCCAGAAAGAGCACAGGCCAACTGCAGATGCTGCCTCAGCCTGACGACGGGTGTCTGTGCCTAAAAGCTTGCAAAGAAGAATTTTTTCCAACTATTTGAGTTGGTCTAATAAATGATATCAGATTGACCCAAAAAACCTTGTCTGCCTATGTCCTTAGACCAACGTGACTACAACCTACACCCCTGGCTCTTATCCCTGTAATTCGAATGGATCCAGGGATGGAGCAGGGTTGAGGAATCCATGCAGGTAAGCGTGTGCTTTATGGACAGTGTCCCAGCTTGTCCCCACCACCAATGACCTCAATTCTGTCTCGCACAGGTGGTCTCCTGCTCTCCTGACCCAGGACTCACTTTCACCTCTCCCCCCCACCCCAGTCCTGGCACATGCTCCCTGCCTCCCCACCTCTGCAGCCCTGGCACATGCCTCTCCTGTTGCCAGAAGCCCTCCCAACTGCCCATTTGTTCTGCAAGGAGTGACTTTCCCCTTGGCTGAGGCTGGGCTGGAACAGGCCTCCCCTTGTGTGCCTCTGCACAAAGGCCTTTCTGTGGCAACCCAGCACAGACCCTAAGAGGGAGGGACAGGCAGAGAGAGGGCCCAACTGTTAATAGAGATGGTGAATGGACTCTTTTTTTTATCCATTCAACAACTGCCTCAGCTGAGGACCTGTTGTGCTGTGTGCTTCTGAGCCACAGCTGTTTAAAGGGGTGGGAGAAGGAGGGAGAAAGCAAGTGACAGGGGGAGAGATTAAAAAATTAGAGGGGATGAATTTTCACAACAGCTGTTTGGTTCTTCTCCAGACAAAAATCAAAACCAAAAAACAGCCAGAAAGTGCCTTTAAAGAGAAGCAAGGAAGCCGGGACTCTGAAGGGATTTTTCTTTTCCCTGGGTCTCATCTTATACAGACACTTTTCCCAGTGGAACTGCACCCGCTTTCAACAGCATCCAGTGAAAACAGCTCCCTTATAACCCAGAAACACATGTCCCAAACAGAGGAGGCAGTGCCTGGTCTGTCATCCTGGAGGGAATCTGAGGTGCCCTGTCCCTAACAAATCTTCACTAGGTGGCAACAGCCAGGAGCTCAACTGCTATCCCCATCAGAGATACTGCACAATGCTGGATTGTCCCCTTGGGATGCAGCAGGGATTGGGAAGTCCCATGTAGCCACCTGTACCCAGTGGTGCTGGGATCAGCGTGCATGTGGGGACAGTATGTGGGGGCTGACAACTGCTCTGAGACCCCCAGGCTGTTGCACTGAGAGGTGGCCCCTGGCTCAGGTCTCAGTGAAGGCAATGGGAGCTTTACCACTGCCTTCAGTGGGAACAGGGCTAGGGCAGAGCTGAGCTCTATTGAAAGCTCCACCCCTCCTGGCTCCTCTGGGGTTGTCCAGCTGGGTGAGCAATGGGCAAGGTTGAAGGGTCCCAGAAAAACTCAGAGTGATTCCAAATGTAAGCAGCATCATGTCTTCCCTGTCCCCACCATATCTGGTTTCTCAGGAGGAGGGTGGACAGTGCAGCTCCTTCCCATTTCACTGGTGACTGGTTGAGTGTAGGGCTAAGGAAAGCAGAAGGCCTGGTAGAACCAGGCACTATGTACGCAGGAGCTGAACCAACTTCCTCCAGAGCGTTGTCAAAACCCTTCTATCATGTCCCCAGGGGACTCCTTTCTATCCACTTTCATGGATCCCCTTCCTGCATAACTGCCAGGGTCCTCAGTCCTGGTATAAAGTATGATGCCAGGTGCATCATATCTCTTTCAGTCTGTAACAGCCAGGCAGGCAGGAGGGGTCTGGCCCTGGTTCTAGGCAAAAGCTCTGGATTGACACACAAAGGGCAGCTTCGGGAGATAACAGTCTTGACAGAGGCTCCTTGTTCAGTGTTAGCAGAAAACCATTCATCTGCTAAAGGACCACAGGCCTGCCTTGTCCTGAACAAAGCCTGCCTGCCCATTGGACCCTGCTGTTCTCTGAGGAAAGCACTGATGCCCCCTTTCTAAGACATGTTTCAATCATCGTTTAGTGGTGAAATGCATGCTGAGTCCCCCTGGCAATCCAACTGCCCAGGGGTCTTAGCCTGCCCACTGCTTTGCAACAAGGGCTTTGGCAGAGCATACCATTGGCAAGACCCTGGCAATGCTAGCTCTGTTCATTTACCTTCTGGATGCGGCTCGCTTTCTCGCTGTAGCTCTCAAGCTCCCTCCGTAGCTTCTCATTCTCTCTCAGCAGCTTCTCATTCTCTCTCAGCACAGTCTCCATCTGGGCCAAGTGGCTACTAGCAGAAGCAGCTTGGGCTGTCATCAAGGCCTCCATCCCAGCTGGAGTGAGAGACCCCAGTGGATTATGGCACAGCGAAGCCTGCTGTGGCAGGAAAGCCTGGGGCAGGTGGGCCTGCATCACCCTGGAAAATATTTTTAAAAAAATGGTGAATACACAGGCCTGTTGACACTGCTCTTCACCCACTGTGTGCACTTTCAATGAATGGATGGAAGGTGAAGAGCTGCACAGCTATAGCTCCACTGACCCCCAGAAATGTTTTAAGGCCCCGGTGCTGCCCTAGGATGGGGGGCAGTCAGAGCTGCAGACGATACCTCTGCACACAGGCACGTGAGGACAAAAGCTGGCACTGGAACACTGAAAATACTCTGCAGGACAGTCATTGCAGAATACCCCCAGGGGAATATTTAAAGAGCTCCTGATGTATCTTTCAAGCAGGGGTGAGGCACAGCAGCCCTTAGCACATCTGACAGAGAGAGAGCGAGAGAGCGCGCAGGGTTTTCAAAGCAGGCCAGACTATCTCTGCCCTCTGATATAAGTGCTCCAATGGGAGCAGATGTCAGGTAGAGAACTGCTGAGATCTCTTCAAAACCCCACCTGAACCTAAATAACACCCTTACAATTCACTCTCCAGTAAAAGAATCTGGGGAAAGTTTTTGAAAGCATTTGAACAAATGAGGGTGAATAAGTCCCGTTTCCCAAAGGTCCAGATAATTAATAGATAGTATTTAAGCAACCAGATGCAGATGACCCCTAGTAGGCAAACCAGGCATCGAAATATGTTTCAATATGGGGTCTTAAGAGACCAAATCCTATTGATCTTCACCACCAACTCGTCCTCTAAATGTCTAAGCTGTTTTTGAAAATGGGAAGTGAGTGCTCAAGTCACTTCAGTGCTTTAAAAAAAAAAAGTGTTACCCCTTATTTCTAAGCTATGTTTAAAGAGAGACCTTGTACCACCCAACCCCATCCCAGCACTCAGAGAAAGGAACTTATTTGCCAAAGCTAAGCAGTGACAAATCTTTAAATCTCCACAGCACTGCCCCACTCTCCTGGTGAACTCTAGGAAGTTAAGGATGCCTTGCTCCCCCCTAAGGCGATTCCTGATCAGCAGGCCCACCCTGTATGCAACTCATATACGTTTTACCTTACCTAGTTTGTGTCGCAAGAGCATGCTAAGCATATCAAATGCAGGCGTACGTCTCCCACACCTCCCCCATCAACACACAAAACAACTGCTCCGAGCTCCTAGACACTGTCTTTGGTGGCAGCTTGGAATTCCCAGAATTTAATATGGCTGCTGTATGGGATGGGAACTGTACCGGATTTAACCAAGGTCTGGTCTGGGAAGGCTTATTTAAACGTGGGTCTGCATTCTTGTGAGATGATTCGGTAGCAAAAAAGAATAAATACATTTTCCTTTCTGCTTGTGACCCCCTCCCCTCTTTGTTCCCTCAAAGAGAGAGCATTTCCTGCCGGAGATGCTATCTCTTCCTGCCAGCATTCATTCTGACTTATCCAGCAGCAGGAACCCATATGCACTCTCCTCCACCTTTCCCAACTATGCAGCTTGTTAAGAAGTCACTGGGAGCCCAAGCAGCTACCAAATGGGGGGCAGTAGGGACAGGACACAACACCTCAAAGAGGTAACTAAAGTTTGGTTTCTCCCCTGTAACTCTGTTCTTTCCCCCATTTTAAGTAACCACAGACACTGTTTATAATGTGATCAAACTCCCAAGCAAACTGAAATGAGCAATGCTTTGTGCAGGCTAAGAACTACAGCAGCAGACCCGCATCGTTAGCAGTGCAGGGTGTGAGACAAGCCAAGCTGGGGCATGCTAAGGTACTTGATGCACTGTCATCTTCCCCACCACCTCTTAACAACCCTTCACTGAGACAGCCAAAAGAAGAGGAGCCTTAACTCATTTTATTGGAATTACCCTGGTGTAATAGAGAGCAGAATTTGACTAAGGTTGCAATGGAGGCAAGTAAGGTTGGATTTGGTCTCTGGTGTTTGCAAAGTGGACAACAGCATGGTATCAATGGCACCGCACACAGCTGCTTATAAGCTTGTAATGACCAAGTCTGACCCCAAGAAAGCTCGTGCTATTCTATACTCAGCACTATCATCAGCTCCCACAGTCCACAGGCTACTTATGAGACAGTAACTGCACCCTCCTTCTGCCCTCCCAGGGCAGGATTGGTACTTGTCCATGTAGCGGGGGGGGTAACTGCATTTTCTTTTCATCATTGCACAAGCCTGTTCCAAATCTAGCCATTTCCTGATTCAGTTCCAGTTCCTAAATCAACCAGAAATTCCACTCATCACACCAGGGGAAAGGGCTTTTAAGAACAGTTTAATTTTCAGAGCCAGTGGGCCAAATGTAACCCTACTCTAGCCTCACCTGAGATGCACGTAGCTTTAAAAGCATGATAAAAAGTAAATGCCCATATTCTCTGCCCCTCCATATCTGCCAGCACTTCCAGATTTGGGGAAGTATCCACAGAACTGGAGGAAAGTGAGGACTGGCACAATTAGCAGAAGACTGTAGAGTCCCTGCCTCCTCTCCTTATTCTGCAACGCTGGTCTTTCTCTGCTTATGCACAAAGCCTTGGGCATAAGAATGCATCGGAGGGCAACAGCCAAGGTTCTTCCTGGGAGCCATGTGGGTCAGCAGAAAGTTACCCAGCACTTTTTCTATTCGTCTTTTCCAGGGCTATGACAACTGACTACCCCCAGGACTGCAGGGATTGGCAACGCAATGCTGTTCTGTTGCGGATGGTGAGGTGCAATATATATGTCGTTGGTTACCTGACTTCAGGGTGCTGATACCCTGGGCCATCCCTGGAGCAAGGCCTGGGACCTGCCAGGTAGCTGACCGAGGGCTCCTGGGAGGGCAGAATGTAGGGGTATTCTGGAGGGGGCCCCCGTGGCTCCATCCCCTCGGCATGCTGGCCTCTCAGAGCAGACAGCTGGTAGTGCCTCGAAAGCTGAGGATAGCTGTGGGAGGAACTCATGTGGTTCTGGGCCTTGGCTCCGTTCCTCTCCAGTGACATCTGCATGAGGCGTTCGCTCAGCGACCTCACGTGACCGTGCTTCAGATCCTTCAGGGACTCGTCCTGGCGCTTGCTGCTGCTGTCGGCGGCATAAGCTCTGCGCTGGCCTGTCTCGGCGTGAGCCCCTGAGCTGGCCACCCCTGCCTGCTGTCCCCCTCGCTGCGAGGCGTAGTACTGGGAGTGGGCCTTGGCCTCCTCATAAGTGGGCAGCTCCTCGCCTTTGTGCTGTGGCTGGTAGAGCCGGTACAGGTTGTTCTCCAGGTAGATGTGGTCAGAGTGATGCTCCTGGCCCTGGGGTTCCTGCCGGGTAGACTGCTGCACCATATGGCTCTCTTCTTGTGTAAGGCTCTCCAGGGAAGAGCGAGGGCTGCTGCTGCTTCCTCCTCCACGCAGGGCCTGCTGCTGAATCGCCAGCAGCGTGCGGTTCTCCGTAAGGTTCCCATATCTCAGCTGCTCCTGGATGAGCCGGTGCAGGACTGTCCCAGAGGAATCCTCTGCTGTCCTCATCTTTGGCTACTCAATCGGCAACCAGTGCTCCCAGTGGGAAGAGATGATACAGTCCCACGGATCTAGCAGCGAATGGCCACTGTGAGGAGCCTGCAAGAGAAGGAAATTAAAATCAGAAGACAGCTCTTGCAGTCAGGCAAGAAGGAGCAACGTTTTTTTCATAGCATATCTTCAGAGAGTTGCATTTTTCCAGAAAGCCACTGCAGCATTCTGGCCCTGAAAGAAACTGCCTCTCCTTTCGTCCCATCCGATGGGAGCTACGATAGGGGAGGAGAGGGATTCTGAGCAATGCTTATATGCTCATACCCTGGGACCAGCAGAGAATTACAGCTAATTCTGCGGGGGGTCATTTACAACCAGGGAACTTCAGCTTCAGCTCCTGTCCTAAGCACTGTAGCCTGCCTTGCGGATGCTGGAAGTGGACCAAATCATGCAGGTTCAACTCCAAGGGAACCCACTTCTCTTACAGGACAGCACCCTACTCAGCTGCTCGCTGCTCCATTACATCCCATCTTGTCCAAAATGTCCTGACCTCAGCTTGCTCAAGAGGCGACCTTGGGTGGGGAGTGAGGAATGTCGCTGAACAGGGAACTTCTGTGGGGAACTTCGCTGGCTTCCTATTGTTACACAGAGCCTTGGCGCACTGGCTTTGCCTGGGACTTGAAGCACAAACAGTGCACTCGCAGTCCAGTGCAAATAGTCTGTACAGCTGTATTTACCACCTTGGAAAGAAGTGCTTATGGACCTAGTAAAAACACCTGAATTTGGTGCATCTATCTGCAGGTGCACGCACACATGCACACAAAGGCTAGGTAACAAAGAGAACCACGGCAGGGAAAAGTGGGAATTGCTGCCTAAGAAATCCAGTCCATCTGCTGGGGCAAGTCAAATTCATCCCCTTAAATAGCAGATCCTGCAGTTCGGGGAAACTGCAGCATTGATAATGGAGGCAGGGAAGAGATTTTATTAACTGCAGTGAAAGATGTGCTCTCGCCTACACTGAACTGGGCTGTGCTGGGCAGCCCCAGAGGCATACCAGCACATGATATGCCTCTTCCCTGTGTTACCAGCAAAACAGGACAAATGCTACAGTCCACCTCACACAAGGACTTTGGTATAAGAGGCATTTGTCAAATGCGGACCATAAATTAGCCTTTTTAAACACAAGCTTTGGCAAACCCCAAGATCATTATGCACCCAGGTGACACTTTGTGAACCATCTCCAGAGACTCTAATCGCCCAAACGAATAAACCTCCGCAGCTATGCTTGCAAACATTGCAACACCGGGTGCGCAAAAGGGAGAAGTGGACTCAAAAGCGCCAGGACGCAGAGGGGACAGGACGTGTCTATTCATACTGCCCGGCCGGAGGGATGCGAACAACAACACGGCACCTTCCGAAACGCGCCTCCCTGGTGTTTCGCTGCCTGCTCCGGCATCTCCCGCCCGCGCTCCGGCGTGTGTCACCCCCGCGGCCCGACCCTCTGCCGGCCAGGGGGACGGGCCGCCGGGCGAGCCCCGCTG